TATTTAATCGTTTCTTTATTACCAAGTTGGCTTTGGCTATTGAAATTGCATCTATGCTAGTGATCATCGATACACTTTAAAACTAAAAAGTATGTTTTTTTGAAATTCAGAAAAATGCTTATTTAATAAAATTATATGTATTTAACCAGATCTAGAATCTATTATGAAACAGGTCAAGAACATGAATCGGTTTTGGAACTCTGATCATGTTTTGCATGTATGAGAATCTCTTTCACGCCTTACAGAGACTGCCAGTAGGCATGGTCAGTATTTGTAGACCCCTACAAGTATTATTAGATTCTTTCAGCATGGGAATATTCTCGTTGTATCGTTAAGTCAACATTTATTCAACAGAGGCAGAAACTGGTTGAATATTTATTTAAATTGCTTAATTAATCTTTTTAATAAAATACTGTATAAAAATTTTGCATAACTTTATTAAATACTTTTAGAGAGTATGATAATTTCTAAAGTATGATCCAATGAAAATATTTTTATTAATTAATAGTTAAATAGCAGTTCTCATTATTCAATATAATGAGAAATATATTCAGTACTTAAAAATTACACTCAATGTTATATTTATTAAATTGTATGCACATAATTTTATGCATATATCTTAAAACGTAATGCAAGAAGCAATTTATCACACGTAAAATCTTGCATTATTCTTTGCATGTGCTTTCATTAAATTTTTTTCTTCTTACGATTTAGTGCTAAATCCATTTGTCAGCGATTTGGTTTGCTATTATTGTTTTATAAATACAGAAATATGATACAGTGCACTCGAATATAAGAACAATCACGATTTGATATGATTTTGAAATTCTGTGATGGCATTCTTAATAGACGGCATTATTCAATACCTAAATTTATTTATATTGTCAAAAAAGAGGTTTTCGTCTGTGAAATGTATCGCCACTACATATTTCACAATTTAATTTTTAGCTTAAATTTGAATACAGACGTGTCTACATAAATTTCGATACGAAACTTGCGTCGATTCTTTAGTATATTAATACATTTTTAACAAAATACTTTTTCCTACTGAAGAAAAAGACACTGCTTTTTCTTAAAATATGTACAGGTAATTTTTAGATAGAAATAAAAATCATAACTATACTAAGCAGTAGTATGTTAGAGTTAAGTGAACATTTTACATTATTGTAGAATCGGTATTTACTGTCTAGGAATATGATGTTTGTAAACTTACTTCCGATGTGGCTGTCTAGGGGCTAATTAACTAGTCTGATTTATGTAAAACTTGAATATTTAATGAAACATGAATAGTTGCTACAAACTACAAAGTAATTACATACGTAGAAGGAAACAGATGAGATTATTTACAGATGAAGAGAAGGAATCGTATTTTATAAGCAAACATCTTTGAATCGCGTCATCGTCTTAATGGCGGAATCGTCTGACTTCTATCATCGGAAAAGTAAAAGATTTATTCTCACAGCTTGTCGCGTCATCCGATTATAATGAACGATGCCATCCCACAACTGCTCGTCCATCCTGATGGAATGCGGCCTCGCATTCTCGTAGCACCACCATCTCATCTAGGGATCTGAAAAATAAAATTAAAAAAAAAACAAAAAACAAACAAAAAAAAAGATTTTTAGTTACTATTGAGGGAAAAGTCGTCTTAAATGGTTTATTTCAGCCATCTTTTTCTCATCATCTTAACATCTTCAGAAATAACGGCGTTAGCTCTTCTTAAATGCTCTTTCAGTGTTCGTTCATCTTGAACAGTCTATCTGAATACATGTATTTCACAAAGACGTCTTTCTTTGATGTTGTCTGGTACAATTCGTCTGGATTCGTCTTTACATACGTCTTAATATCGTCTGAATGCGTCTTCTTAGATACCGTCTGGATACGTCTTCTGAATGCGTGTAAGATATCTTCAAGATCCGTCATTCGAATGCGTCTTCTTAAAATCGTCTTCTTTAAGCCGTCTTCCTTCATACATTTCATCCTTAGACATCGTCTTCAGTCTTCTTAAATTAGTTCACGTCTTTAAAATAATAGTCCATTAGTCAAATCGGGAGAAATTTGTCAACTTGGGAAAAAGTCTATAATCAGGAATCATCAAAATCGGTATTTCATTGTTCAAAGCCTTTCGGGTTTCTTCCTATATCTTCTGAATCTGCTTTTTCGCTTCTTTTTTCTCACCTTCTTTAGTTTCTTTTGTTCCGTTCTTTGTCGTCAGGTTTTCTGATCGACTTCTCCTTTTCAATCTTCTCCTTCTTCGGTTGGTCTCTGTAGTTTCTTCGTCTCCAGTGGCTTCTTTTGCCTTCTCTATTGCAAGGTATTTCACTGAAATTGTTCTAGTAGAATTCGCATTTGATTCATCATCTTTAGCAACTGACTCTTCTTCGGGAAAATGTTTCTCTTCGGAATCTCCTTCTGCAGTGTCGTTTCTCCTCGTTGGCTTCGAAACTAATTGTATTGTGCTTGAGTTTCGTTTTGGTTTTTGTTTTTTTTATTTATCGTTTCCGTTTTTGCACTAATTCAAATTCATCTTTAATAGCATCATTTTCATTTATATCAGAATCTGCATCACTCGGGGACGTCATCAGAATTCACAATCAGGGAAATCATTGCCACTTGCTTTGATTGTGGATGAGGTATCCAGTTTGATCACATTCTGTACTGTAACAGGAACTATACTAAAAGGATCAGTTTCTGGTTTTGGAAGTAAAAAACCATAATTAACAACTTTTTCAAATCCTTCTTCAGAACCATTTCATTGCAATAAGCATTCTTTTGCTCTTCAGAATCATTCTCAGATTTCTTGTTTTCTGCGATGGCACAAATATTTGATCGAAATGAAGAACCATCGATTTGGAATTCACCTTCAAATCTCTCTATAGGTTTGTTGCCAAATTCCGTTAACTGTAGATCTGCCGACTTAAGTTCAGGAGAACCTATCTTCTTATGTATATCTTCTCGGATTAGCGTTACTTGACTACCAGTATCTATTAAAGCATCAATTTGCAAATTACCCAAATTAACAGTTTTATGCATTTCTTTCTGACAAGTCTGAGTTATTGGAGTAACAGCTTTGGCATCTTGGATATTTTTAGATGATGTTTTCGAACAATCTACGGCTTTGTGTCCAAACAAATCGCATTTAAAACACTTAAATCCTTTACTCTTATTGTTACAAAAATTCGATTTATGGACCTAAACTTCCACAATTATAACACCTTGGCTCTTAATCTTACTAGGTACAGCGCGTGCTTTATTTTGTGTGTTAGTACTTGAATAACCCTTATTCTTCGTATCTGGAACGCGAATTTTCTCATAAATTTTTAATTCTCTTTGAATTCAGAAATAGTTTTACACCCGTAAAAAACAATTTTGTTACTACTCTGATCTGGTATCCCATTGATTACATAATCAAGAATTGATGAATCATCAACAGAACCGCGACTGGCTATTTCACGCATGGCAATTAAATATTCGGAAAGTGATTCACCAGGTTTTAAGTGTCGTTTCTGTAACAAATTATGAAGTTGTGCACTGTTTATTTTAGAACCAAATTCAGATAAAAGATTTTCTTTTAATTTGTCCCATGATATTATACCCTTTCAAAGACCTAATAAATACTTTAGCAGAACCAGTAAGCAATTTTTTAGCAAACACAATTTTCTGTAATTCCGATAACTTAAATAATTTAAAAGATTCTTCTAAATCACCAATGAAGGAATTCAACTGGATATGTATCAGTGCCATTAAATTCAGAAACAGTTTCTAAGATATCACGAAAATGTAGGGAAATATTGCTAGGCATTATAATGTTTTCATCCACTGAGTTATTTATGGGAGGTGATTCTGACCGAACAGAATTAATATCATCATTTTTATCAGAATCATAAACACTTTCGTTTTCAGATAACTCATCATCGTCATCACTTTCGGATTTTAAAAGCTTAAAATCACAAAGACTATTCAATATTAAATCACAGTTTTTATCAGGATTTGAATCATAATTAAGATGTAACAAATTACACACAGAAATAAAATCATTTGCAGTAAGAGTTTTAAGTAATTTTGTTTTGTTCTTTCTTCAATATTAAAATCAGATGGAAAACCACAAAAGTTACGCAATCTAGCTCTCTATTTTTTCGATCACCCAAAGTTCCAAACACAATTTGATGTAAAAGTTTAATTGACTTAGTAGGCCCAGTCTTTAAAGAATTTGAAATTCTAGGAATAGAATTTAAGGTAGTCATCATCTTAATTCACAGTATCATAGAACACTATTCTTAGAAGTAACAATGTGGAAATAATAGAAACAAAACTTACTTCTCTTATTTTCTACTATTCATAATGCTTCTTCCTAGGCTCATCGCGTCCCGAGCGCCCAAATCTGTAGAATCGGTATTTACTGTCTAGGAATATGATGTTTGTAAACTTACTTCCGATGTGGCTGTCTAGGGGCTAAAAAACTAGTCCGATTTATGTAAAACTTGAATATTTAATAAAACGTGAATAGTTGCTACAAACTACAAAGTAATTACATACGTAGAAGGAAACAGATGAGATTATTTACAGATGAAGAGAAGGAATCGTATTTTATAAGCAAACATCTTTGAATCGTGTCATCGTGTTAATGGCGGAATCGTCTGTCTTCTATCATCGGAAAAGTAAAAGATTTTTTCTCACAGCTTGTCGCGTCATCCGATTATAATGAACGATGCCATCCCACATTATTAAATCTAACATCAGTTTAAATTGAGTTCCCTGTAGCAATAACAAAATATCACCTTTTTTTATTAAATGAATGTTTCATTTGAATCCCCTTTTCTATAAACTTCGCGAAGTAAATGTCCTAGATTAACCATTTTAAATAAACGCACCTTTCGAAGCCTCATCGAGTTTATTTCCAAGTTAAGACACAGTTTAGTTGTAATACACGAAGTTATAAAAATTTCTGAATAAGCTGTAATTGAATGTTACAATACTAATTTTTCATTATTTTCTTATAGGATTTCCTCTACACAAATTGCAAAAATCCATTCTTCATTTAAATGTATACGATTGGGATAGATTCAGCCGGGATGACCCAATTGGGGATGTATATCTTCCTCTGGCGCAAGTGGATTTAACTCAAAAACCTACGTTTTGGAAGTCGCTCAAACCAGCAGAAACTTGTAAGGTATGTTTTAAATGCCTTGCTTTATTTTCCTGTTTCTGATACAAAATCAAAAGTATGCATCAGATGCTGAAACGAAGTATGCATTAGTTGCAATCGTTTGAAAGATATTGATGAAAGTGATCTGCATTTAATCTTTGGAGAAAATAAGTGCTACCGAGAAACAGCATTACTTTTGTCCTCCTGAATGTGTGATTTGTAGAAAAAATATAATTCCCATTTTACTTTATGACATATTTAGTAGTCTTGCAAGGAGCATCTTGAATTAGTAAAACTGCCGTAATCTAGGAAAAAATTAATACTATTTCAACAATATAACTTAGGTCTCTTCCACTACAATGAATACATATAAGCAGCTTTAACACTAAAATGTTTTACTTCGCAAAGGTTTTATCAATTAACAAATTGCATTAATTAGATAAATAGCTGAAGAATTGCCGATCCAACAAATTATAGACAGAATTTTATCGATAAAATGTAATTCAGAAATAATTCAAAAACTTTAGTCGATAATACAACAATACGATCCGAAACATATATTATAATTCTAAATTTTTATTGAAAAGAAAACGATATAAGTAACACGATCTCAATGAAGGTTTGTGAAATTGGGATTGTAAAGTTGCATGACGACTGAATGCGCTTGCTGAGCGTCTAGGTTTTACATAAATGAGCTTAAAAGACAAATAATAACAATAAATAATATGATAAGTAAATTATCCGAGATACAATGCGAGTTTTTGCTGAAAATGTTCTTTATTTATGACATAAAGTAACGGAACAACAGTATATATGATTTGTTTGAAGTATTTGTATAAACTTTCATTTCTAAGTTCATTTACATCTAAATTACAATATTTTATTACAATATAATTTAATTATTGTAATATGCATGTTAATATTGATGCTGTATATTTACATTAGATCTGCAAATGTAATGTATGCAGATCATCTATTTTATGCAGTAAAAAGAACGCAATCTCCGTTTATCGTTTAAACGTCTTTAGAATTCCCTTCTTGAAACCTAAAAGTATTTCCTACTTTTATACGCAAGAGCTTCTGTCAAAAACAGAAACGTTGATCGTAAAAAATGCAATGTGTATTCTGAAGCATAGAAAAAATCTATTTAAAATGCTTTAAATAAAATATAAAATCTCCAAAAAAATTAGAATAAAGAAGAATTATACCGAAGTCCATAAAATTATAGAAAAAGAAACATCCCTACCATTTACTTACATGTCAATAAAATGCTTAGTTAAGCGCATATTTAAAAATATATCAGATAAAATGTTACTTTTTGTATTTTTATTGTGTAGAAAAGAATACTTTTCAGGAGAAAATCTTCTTCCGCTTGGAAAAGTTTGGATCTCGTTTATTTTCTAGACAGATGAAATCCACTTTTTATGACAATTTCACGCTTTTCTGATTATCATTTACTGTTTGCTTCAAAATTTCAATTACACATCAGGTCAAAAATATTAAATAAAAATCGAAGAGAAATAAAGTGATGCTTTGTTTTTTTAATTCTACTAAAAAAGTGTATTCTCTCAAAATTTTAATTAGCGAAAATGGAAGATTCTTTTATATTTCAACAACATAATAACATTTTATTTATTTTTTTTACTTTCATTTTTGTTGTCTTTTAAAGTTTTCAAATATTATGCACATATATTTGCTTTCAGGTAATTATACAAGATGCTAATTACAAATGAGCTGAAATATATACTGTTGCGCTTCTCTTTTCTGACCCCTGTTTTTACATTATTCTTTTCCTTCACGTTCGTACGGGTTTCGTGTGGATTTAGAGTGAATAACGACGACACTTGATGAAGTATCGAAACACACTTTATTTGCCGGTATTAATCAGTACAGCTCCAAAACACGTTTTACAGTCGTTGATGAACTACTATAAACACGCTGACACGATCAGCGACACAGCCTTCAGGTTATCAGGCTATCACGGGAGACAGCTTCACTGCAAAGCACAAGAGTACAGCTCTCGACTCTGCTCGGTCGTTCTCGGAACTCTGCGTACTCTCGAGGCTCTCCACGCTACAATTTGCGATGCACTCGATGACACACAGAGCACGGCTCCCGACTCTTCGATTCAGTCGTTCCCGGAGCTCAACACGCTCTCTCGACGATGCACTAACCGCGATACACTAAGAGACTGCTTCGGTGAACTCGACGACCCACTCGGCACTCGCTGCTCCATCAAGTCCGCAGGGATTGACTCGCTAGACGAGACACCAACTCTATACTGACTATCTTGCACTTCAGACGAGACAGTCTGACTCGCCCTCTCGACGAGGCACACACTCTGAGACACACTTCACACTGACTGCGGACCAGCAGGGTTTATATAGCATTAGACTTGTGTTCGAGAACATTCTGGGCTGAACTGGTCAGAATTCGTTCCAGAAGGTTCTCCATCCGTCTATGGTATAACACCAATTTTGTCGCCACATGTGGCCAAATGGGCGATTCTTCGCCAAATGTGGCAACCCTGCCAACCTAAAACTGCTTTGCGGGGAAGCCATCTTACCACGCCTGTACATTTCGTAATAATACATTTTCATACAATGTGACGCTTCAAAAGGGAGTTGAAGTCAATGCTAAATACAAGGGAAAAGAAATAACCATATGCCATAAAATCTGAGAATGATAATTATATTTGAGAACGAAAATCATGAAAGTTGTAGAGAGTCAACTAAGGCAGCCTCTGTAGCTTCGTAATACGCAGGCTGATTAAAAAGACCTAAAAGACTTTAGTGGTAGGCGAAACTGGCTGCCGTGTCATTGAGCCCGGATTCGAATCCCGGAGGAGGCACAGATGTTTTCAAGTGTCTGTATGGCACAATGGTGCTGAAATACTGACAAGCCGGAAGAACTTTCGAATTTTTTCGAGTAGGAGAAAAGGAGTGGAAGACCATCGGATCCGTCCCCCGAGTGCTTTTCATTCAAAACTGGGGAAGTTTCACAGTTAGTTCGGTGGAACAATGTTAAAATTCGGATGTCCTATTTTCTTCTACATCTATCTATAAGCCATAAAGATTCATATCCGCATTATATGTGTGAGTAGAAAACGCTATATCATGAGGGTCTGAGCGTCATCGACACCAATTGAATACTATTGAAAATTTTTAAATAAGGAAGAGGGCGTATGATTTACGAATTTATTCTATAGTGTCCTCAAAAACAGAAAGAACCATTAGTTCCTTTGTCCTTAATCGTTCAGAAGGTAATTTGAAATGGATATAGACTCTTGAAAAATCTTTTTTTTTTTTTTTTTTTTTTCATTTCATGCCATTCAACATGATCACGGACGATTCAGGAACGAATTATGACTATATTTAAGAGAACCATAGAAAACTCATATTATTAAAAAAGGATATTAGAAATGAGATTTCATGGCAATAGTATCAATATTATTTACAGCACTGCAAGTCAAATTGCTAGCATTACATGATGGAAGCAGTAGGGGTCAGAAAACTACAACTAACGCGGACATATGTATAAGGTTCAACATACAGAAAAATTTTGTCAAATAACGCTTTTAATTTGCAGTATAGTCAAAATGATAGTGTGGAGCTTCTTTTATTTTATTTATTTATTATTTACTTTTTTGCTCAAAAGACCGATTTCATTTTGACCCTGGACAATGGGTGCCAAACTGGATCGCATGAAGGATGCAATAATAGGCTCGTAGCGATGGATCGAATTGAAACCCATTTAAAAGTTTCGAGCTCGTTGAAGAGACTGTCTTTATAAAGTAATTATGATATTCAACTTACCCAATAGATGGTACTTTGTTGTTCCTCATTTGCACTCAAGATTTCTGTTTAATGCCTGAAATATTTTGGACTATAGAAATATGCTTTCCGGTTTTAGAGTCAACATGTCTATGCAAGAAACTGCAATCAAGGAACATCACTAAGTAGTTACAGCTATTATAGCTTATATAGGGTTATGGATTGTACAGAACAAATAATTTATGAGATGAAAATTGCTTGTTTGTTTAGTTCATGATAATGTTAACTATTTTGTACATGAAAGAGCAAAAAGAAAATCCTATAATTCTTATAAAAATAAAATCTAATTTCTGTTCAGATGACTATGTAACTTTAGAAAATCTTCGCACTGATACCTTTATATAAACATACAACTGAATTGATTAATTGTTATTTAAGAGTATAGATCCCTTCATTATTCAACATATTCGCCTTTCCTTTCTCTTCAGTTCTTTTCTTGGAGGTCAACAAATTATATTTAAGGAATGAAATGCATAAATATATCTATTAATTGTTTACAATCTTACGTGTGTTCTTTTATTTAAAGTTAGTGCAATATGTTGAGGTAATTCATTTCAAAACATCATCACATTGCATTTGTGATGCAAAAATGTAAAAAAAAAAAAATTGAAAAATTGTTTCAGAATTATTCCCAGAACTTATAGTTTATTATGGTAAAAAATATGAACTTAAGAAAGAGAATTGAAATTACAGTTATAAAATAGGAACTGATTAAATTTATTTAGGGAGTAATGACGTGACAGATACAAACTAATATTAGATAAAGCTATAAACAAATTCATTCGAGAATATCAGTCCGTTTCTTAGTTTTGTACCTTTTTTAAAAAATCAGTACTATAAGAGGACATTTTGCTGCAATTTATGCATGAAAATTTAATCTTTTCTGATTCTTATCTATTCAAATTTATTCTTAGGATTTCAAATGAAATAGAAGCCTGATTTCGAACTAAAACCTGTATTTGTCATAAAGTTTACCAGTAAAAAAATAATTTTAAAGAACTTTCATTATGAAAGAGAAATTATATCCGGTTTGTTAAAACTTTTATTTATTTTCTTTCTCTTTTGTCGTTAAGTTGGTTAGAGGATACGACTTTGTTAAGCACTTAAACTTTCTCTCCTCAAAACTCTTCTGGAGAAGTTCGTGATAGGAGAAAGGTAAAAGATCCTCGGTTTCTGTTACTAGGATGCTCC